ATCCCCCCCCCCCGCCCCCACGTCCCATCCCCACGTCCCCACCACCCCGTGACCGCCGCCGTGTCCCCACCGCAGGGCGCCCCCGAGGGCGTCATCGACCGCTGCAACTACGTCCGGGTGGGCACCACGCGGGTGCCGCTGACGCCGGCCGTCAAGGAGAAGATCTTGGCCATCATCAAGGAGTGGGGGACGGGGAGGGACACCCTGCGCTGCCTGGCCCTGGCCACCCGCGACACCCCGCCCAAGAAGGAGGACATGATCCTCGAGGACTCCACCAAGTTCGCCGAGTACGAGGTGGGTCCGGGGTGGGGATCTCCGGGGGGTTCCTCGCTCTCCTGGGGACTGGTGGAAGCTGTTCCTGGGGGTCTGTGGTCCTCCACGGACCCATAACACCTTCTCCGTTGGGTCCTTGGTGCTCTCGTGGTCTACAGAGCTCCACTTCTGGGGGCTCCTTGGTCCTCTGAGGGTGTCCAAGGCCCCGTCTTCGGGTTCTTGGTCCTCTATGACCACGTATGGGTGTAAAGTGTCCCAGTTCTGGGGGTTCCTGGTCCTACGTGGCCATACCACCCCGTTCCTGGAGGTCCTTGGTCCTCTGAAGGTGTCTGATGTCCTCTCTTTGGGGTTCCTGGTTCTATGTGACCAGAGAAGGGTGGCGAATGTCCTCTTTTGGGGGGTTCTTGGTCCTGTATGACCATGCCACCCCGTTCCTGGAGGTCCTTGGTCCTCTGAAGGTATCTGAGGCCACCTCGTTGGGTTCCTTGGTCCCATATGTCCATAGAACGCCTTTCTTGGAGGGTTTTTGGGCCCCATACGGGGGTCTGATGTCCTCTCTTTGGGGTTCCTGGTCCTGCATGACCAGCGAAGGGTCTACAACGTCCTGTTTTGGGGGGTTCCTGGTCCTATATGACCATACCACCCCATTTCCTGGAGGTCCTTGGTCCTCTGAAGGTGTCTGATGTTCTCTTTGGGGTTCCTGGTCCTACATGACCACAGAAGGGTCTACAACGTCCCATTTTGGGGGTTTCCTGGTCCTGCGTGACCACGTACGGGTGGCGAATGTCCTCTTTTGGGGTCCTCGGTCCCATACGTCCCCCCGCGTCCCCTCCCCCAGACGGACCTGACCTTCGTGGGCTGCGTGGGGATGCTGGACCCGCCCCGGAAGGAGGTGATGGGCTCCATCCGCCTCTGCCGAGACGCCGGCATCCGGGTGATCATGATCACGGGGGACAACAAGGGGACGGCCATCGCCATCTGCCGCCGCATCGGCATCTTCGGCGAGGATGGGGAGGTGAGGGGGCGGGCC